ATCGGTCAACTCAGTCAACTTTTATCCTACAAAAATTAAAAAAGCAAATTGTTCTGTAAGAAAAAACCTACAATTCCTTATTCTATAATTTTTTTTATAACTTTGTTAGTTTTTGAAATTTGAAAAAAGGCGTTTTTTTTAAAAATTGAAAAATTTTATTCAAAATGATTTTTTTTAATTTAGGCTTCTAAAATCGTTCAAATTCCCAGAATCTACTGTTAATACATAAATAAAGTAAATTGTAGAAGAAATATGTTTAATTCTTTTTTTCCGGCATGTCGTTATTTTTAATACCGATTTTTTTTCTCAAAAACCAAATCATTTTATTTTGATTGTTACTTCATTAGTTTTCATGTAATGACTTCTACCGCCACTCAATTTAAAGGTCTTTTCAAGAACTTTAATAGGTGTTATATAAGTTTTCCTCGAAAAACCTTTAATTCTTCCGCTACAAGACCTTGAACGTTTCGATTATATGTAGGTATCTTCGAAATTGACTTCAACTTCTGGGAGTCATAACTCAGGTTCTATACCATCTACAAAAATATAAAAAGCAATCTCTTGTAGTTTTTGAGATATTCGCGAAAAGTGGTTCAAAAACTTACATTTTTTGGGCTAAAACGAACATGTTTAGGCGTAAATAACTCAACAAGTATTGACCGTACAAAAAATTCTTATAGAACATTTTTTGCTTAGAATTCGTCCCTCTATCGATTCGTGATAAAAAATTCCCACGCTCCAGTAGGGGTGGCATCCACCTCTAAGGTAAAAAGCACACATCGGCACTAAATAACTTGTTTCTTGGGCTATTCCCTACAGTTCAAATTTCACTTCAATCCGTTCCATCCGAAAAAATTGGGAGCCAAAATGCTTCAGACACTGGACTATTAACAATTGTCATATCGCATCTGCATTGACATTTATGTAGTTCACCTAGTCAGAGGTCATTGAAATTCAAAAACTAAAGAGTGTTTTAAAAAATAACAACGTACACCTTTATTATGAACATTTTATAAAACAGCAAAAATACTTATTTTAAAGCTGAAGGCAGTTTTTTAGTCCAATTAACTAAGCCTTTAAATCGAAATTTTGTCAACTTGGCTGAATTTTTGATATGAGCTTGTTTAAGGTATATTATAACAATAAGCGAGAGTAATTTTTTGTTCAACCCCCGGCCAAGGGTGGAAAAAGATAAAACAAAGGGCTTTTTCAAGATAACTCAAAAAGGGTAAGAGCTAGAAAAAAAAGTTTTTCAAGATAATTGTCTGCTTTC